CTGTCATTCACAAGAATTTCCCTTCAAGTCAGGTGGTGGTGGTGCATGCCTTTAATCCCAGTACTCTGGAGGCAGAGCTAGTTCCAGGACAGTCAAGAGTACACAAAGAAACCCTGTCTCAAAAAAATCAAAAGGAAGAAAGAATAATTCCCTTCTCCCTATTTTCTATGGGCAAGATAAACAGGCTTCTGTGCCTGTTGTGAAGGAATCTAAAGGTGTGGCATATGCACTTCCAAAGCACAGATTCAATTACTGTCATTGTCCTGCCCTGATGCAAGTATATTACCAAGATATGAACATCATCATTCCTAGCTTTGAGTTACTTAATGAAGCATGGAACAATTTCCTTTAGGAAATAAGATGCCTCTAAGAAGTGATTAACTTCTGGGGAACAATTTCCTATATCCTTACTCATGGTATCATGTCTAAAGAGACTTGAAAAAGGCCTCTCAGCTCTGTTGGTGCCCATACTCACGCGCCACACTCCACCTTGAGGGATCGGACATTATCAAAACTACGCTCGGAGACATTTGGGCAGGAACTGGTGAACTCCATCCTCTTGCCCTGGAAGTTTTCCTGATCATAGATGGTTATCTGAAATGGATTGAAATGGAACAAGAAAGAGAACCAGGTACACTAATAAGAGGTGCAAGTTAAGAGCTTGTATTTATCCTGTAATTCTTTTTCCTTTGGGTTTTTCGAGACAGGGTTTCTCTGTAGCTTTGGAGCCTGTCCTGGAACTAGCTCTTGTAGACCAGGCTGGCCTCAAACTCACAGAGATCTGCTTGCCTCTGCCTCCCGAGTGCTGGAATTAAAGGTGTGGTGGTACTTTTTTTCATCACTAGCCACAGTCTAGAATATCTAATAAAGTCAGTATAGACAAGGCAAAAAGGGGTTTGAATAAGTCCCGCTGCTCAGTGACATGTTCAGGCAGTTTATGAGAAGAACGGTCTTTCAGGATAATGGAGAGCTCAATTGACCAGACCAAGGCCTTGTGAGCTCCTGATTCCACCAAGTGTGCTGCACCCTTAGGACCCAGAGGCCAGGATTCTGGGACTCCCTAAAAGTACCCTGAGAGTTATTTCTTTGTTTCTAAAGTATAAAGGGGTTGTGATAAATCTTTTGTCTTTTCAACTAGAACTTGTTTCCTTACCTGGCAAGCTCCCAAAACTGTGAACTTGCCTCAGAGCTGTCCGATGTTGGGGAAACAATGAGAGGCCTGGGATCTGGCACTTTAGCTCAACCTCAGACTGTGTAGGGAGGCCTGAATCCCATGGCTTGTTTGGGATCTAACGGCAAGTCTGAATTGGCCAAGACAAGTACCATCTCCCACCCATCATGGACATCCAGGGGCACCCATCCTGGAAGCCTTCCTCCTCCAGAACAGGTTTTTGTTGGATGGTCACTGTCAGGGAGCAAGCACTACCTGGCAGCTACTGTGCGGTAGCACCTCAGCCCTGCCTGTTGGATCTTTCCATTTTCCATGTTATTGGATCAGCTTACCTTCCATTGCCCCAAGGACCCTGGCATGGGGTTAGTCTGAGCCATTTTGGTGGTTGGAAGAGTTTCTGGAAGATATAACATCAATGATAAGACTTTCAGGATGGGGGTAGTGAGGGAAAAAGGCACAAGAAAAAGGAAAAGAGGCTTGAAGTCCCAGATTTTTTTCAGGATTCTGGCTCTGGTGCTATTACCCAAACCTCAGGTTTTCCAACAACAAACCTTTTACATGTAGTCACTGTAAAATTATACCAGGAATGCAGATGAAGGACTGCAAAGGCATTGGACCTCTTGATAAATATACCCTCTGACTTGCTTGCCTTCAGAAACAACATTGCCTGGGTCTAACGTATCCTAATATCAACTTTCTGACAAATGTCTATACTCCGTGTATCTAGTTATTCAGGCAGTAGGGTCAGAATTCCCCACCTTACCTGCCCCAATTAAAAGGCAACCTCTAGCCGGGCGATGGTGGCGCATGCCTTTAATCCCAGCACTCGGGAGGCAGAGGCAGGCGGATCTCTGTGAGTTCTAGGCCAGCCTGGTCTACAAGAGCTAGTTCCAGGACAGGCTCCAAAGCCACAGAGAAACCCTGTCTCGAAAAACCAAAAAAAAAAAAAAAAAAAAAAAAAAAAAAAAAAAAAAAAAAGGCAACCTCTACTTGAATCTTCTGTGGTCTTCCAAGCACCAAAATTGACCTGTTATTCTGCATGTTCATCTTCTGCTCTGTCTCCTAGACCTGTTTTGACCTTTCTGTCTTCTCCAGTCTGCAGATTTTGACTTCTCCCTCACTTCCCAGAACTTCTCACATACTCATCTGTGTTGCTATTGACTCTAGACTGGGTGAGCATCTCAATAGCAGGGCTGGCAAGTCCTGGGTGATTGATATAGCACCACACCAAAGCTGTGGAGCATCCAAATAAGCCGCATCTCCTACCCATTGCACCTCCCTGTGCCCAAAGGGAAGCGGTTATTGCCATATAGGTGACTCTTCAAGATAGCAACTGAAGCTGTCCACTGACCAAAGTTTCCCACTTCTCCCCACCTTTAAAGGCTCTAACTTCTAGGCAGGAGACAACTGGTTCTTCCTCAAAGATACCGTGAAAAAAAAAATACCGTGAAAGCCTTACTCACCCAGCTCCCTCTGCACAGTCTGGGTCTCCATCTGTTGTCACATCCTCTATGAATCCCCTCTTTATAGTCCTGCAGCCGACGTCCAATGGCTCTGTCAGCACTCTGTTTTCCCTCTCTCTTTGTCTCTTCTGATCCTCAGAGCTTTAGTGGCTCAGTCTACTGGGTGGGGGTGTGTCCCTCCAATCTTTGTTTAGGATTACAGAAGTGCAGAGGCCCTGCTGTTGGGCAGAACTGGCTGTCCCGGAGGTCTTCTCTGAGCAGTTGGGAGTTGAGGACAGAAGCACTCTGTAGTGAATGTTTGTCCCTATCCTATTCTGCCTAGGTTCTCCCTAAGATCTTGATAGGTTCTTCCAAACACACAGAAATGGACCACATATATTTTTCCATGAATATGAACGTAAAGCTGGATGCGGTGGTGCACATCTTTAATCCCAGCACTTGGGAGGCAGAGGCAGGCTGGTTTACAGGGGGAGTTCCAGAACAGCCAGGGCTGCATAGTGAGACCCTGTCTCAAGAAATAAGATAAAATAAATAAAGTGAAAGTATTCTTACAAAACTAAACACTGAAGCCAGACGGTGGTGGTGCATGCCTTTAATCCCGGCACTTGGGAGGCAGAGGCAGGTGGATCTCTGAGTTTGAGACCAGCCTGGTCTACAAGAGCTAGTTAGGACTGTTACACAGAGAAAGCCTATCTCAAAAGAAGGGAAGGAAAGAAGGAAAGAAGGAAGGAAGGAAGGAAGGAAGGAAGGAAGG